CACAGTGCACACAAGGCTTACGGGAGATGCGCAGCACGCATTCACGCACAAGCACACACGGCCACGCCCTCCGCAGGGCTGGGTGCCTACGGAGTCTGCGCAGCCAGGCGGGACTTGGCCGGCATTGCCCACGCTCAGGAGCGTGCACCCCATAAAACCACCTCTTCACAAATACACTTCCCCATAAACAGGTGTCCACAGGCCTCGGGCACGGAGCCAGGACCTTATGAGGGATGTGCCCAGGGAAGCCCCAAAGCTACCTATGTGCAGCCCAGGCTTGGCTGATGGTCACAGATGGGCGACCCCCTGATAAGCCCACCTGACATCCACAGGAGACATCAGGGTAAAAAAGGGAATAAAAAATTCCCATCAATACAGCACATGGACTGGGGGTGGAGTTCAGCAGCAGACTGAGTGCTTAGCATGCTCAAGGCCCTGGCATTGATCTCTGCACCAAAACAATGAAAATAAAAACTACACATATACAAGTGTTTGTGTGTGTATACATATGCGCAAGCACAGAATATACATGTATATGTACACACACAGGCATGCAACAGGCACCCAGACAGAGCAAAAACCAACAGTTAAGTGAGGCAAACAGAGGCAAGGCATGGGACAGCAGGCCTCATAAGACCGAAACATCAACCACCTCAATGTAAGTGAGAGGCCAGGACCAACATGGGACAGAACACAACTAGACCAACACACGGCCACATACAATTTACACTGTCAGCTGAAAGGAAGTGAGATACCCAGGACATACTCCTTCTGGGCTGAGGGGGCTGAGCTGATAGCCAGGGGACTCAGAGGTGAAATGAGTGGAGTGAGCCAGGCACAGCGGTGTATGTCTGTAATCCCAGTTACTCAAGAGGCTGAGGCAGGAGGATCACTGTTCAAGGCTGGCCTGGGCTAGTGAGTTCAAGGTCAGCCTGGACTACACAGGGAGACCCTATCTCAAAACAAACAAATAAGAAAATTAATGAGAAGGCTCGGGCTGTAGTGCAGCACAAGGTTCCAGGTTCAATGCCCAGTACTACCAAAGAGATTAAAAAGTTTCTGGAGTTAAATTATGTAACCATCACGTGCAGGAGGCCAAGGGGAAAGTGACACACACACAGGCCGGGAAAGGCAGTGGCTCTTGCAGAAGGCGGCTGGACTCAAGGGAAGCGCCGGGGGCCCAGGCTTCAGCGCACTGGGCTCCTCTCTGCAGGTGTCCTCTCCCACCTGGCTCTCCCCGGCTGTGCCAGACGCCAAGCGTCCTCCCAAGCAGATGTTTATCTTCTCTGCGTGTGCCCAGCTCTGGCTAGGCCAGCCCCCTGCACCATCATCAACCGCTGAGGGGTCCTGCCTGCCCTCCTTCGCTCCCGCCCTCCCTCCCTTCCTCTCTTCCTTCCCTGTTTTGAGCTGGGTTCCAACTCCAGCCTCAGCCTCCCTCCTTGGCTGGGACTCCAGGGCATGCCGGTGCACGCACCCAGCTGGCTCAGCACTTTAAAATGCTACAAGTGCTCTAATCAGCTTCCGAGGAAGCAGGATTCCCTGGAATCTCTTATCTTCCACACAAGCTCTGCAGTGCTTTGCTGGGTGATTTTGACCCAGCTGGGGACAGCCGGCTTGGGGAGGGCCCCACCTGCCCCTGCCTGCCCCAGCCCCCCGGCAGCCCTGCTGCTCCCCGCCCCCACACGGAGCCTGAGCTAGCGCAGTTGCCTCTTTTGTTCAAGGACTTGGTGGTTAGCTTTCCCAGGCAGGCACTTCCTAACTTATAATTACCAACAATGCCCTGTGTTTGGTTCCCCTGACATACAGGTAATGCTTCCGAAGTCCAGGGCTCCAGCAGGAGCCTGCACCAGACACTCTTGTGGTCTTAATGATACAAGGACCTTACAAGACCAGGGGGCTGCAGAGGAAGGATCGTTTCCAGAAGCGGGGCAGGAGGACAGATGGCCAGAATGGGCTGAAGAAAGCAGAGAGAGGAGAGGACACTTCTCCTATCCATCCAGCCACCCATCTATCCACCCATCCATCCATCTACCCACCCATCCATCCATCCATCCGTCCACCCATCCATCCACCCATTCATCCATCCAACTATTCATCCATTCATCCATCCACTCATCTATCCATCCATCCATCCATCCATCCATCCATCCATTTATCCATCCATCCATCCATCCATCTACCCACCCATCCATCCATCTATTCATCCATTCATTCATCCACTCATCTACCCACCCATCCATCCATCCATCTACCCATCCATCTGCCCATTCATCCATCCAACTATTCATCCATTCATCCATCCACTCATCTATCCATCCATCCATCCATCCATCCATCCATTTATCCATCCATCCATGCATCCATCTATCCATCCACCCACACATCCATCCATCTACCCACCCATCCATCCATCTATTCATCCATTCATTCATCCACTCATCTATCCATCCATCCATCCATTTATCCATCCATCCATCCATCCATCCATCCATCCATCCATCCATCCACCCACCCACCCACCAATCCATCCATCTATTCACCCATCCATCCATCTACCCACCTATCCATCCATCCGGCCGGCCGTCCACCCATCCACCCATCCATCCATCTATTCATCCATCCATCCACCCACTCATCTATCCATCCATTCATCCATTTATCCATCCATCCATCCGTCCGTCCGTCTGTCTATCCATCCACCCACCAATCCATCCATCTATTCACCTATCCATCCACCCACCCATCCATACATCCATATGTCCACCCATCTATCCATTGGCAAGAGCAGAATGCAGGGCAGGGGATATAGCTCAGTGGCACAAGTGCCTGCCTGGCAACTGTGAGGTCTTGAGTTCAATTCCCCGTACCAAAAAAAAAAAAAAAAAAGAAAAAGAAGAGTAGAATGCAAAGCTGAGGGGCACAGCTGTGCCTGTGGCCCAGTGACAGCTAGATAAGGGACGCAGGCAAAGAGACCCCGAGTGAGCCTTGGGCCTCTTCCTAGAGGGAGGGAGGAGGCTGGGCCAGCTCCCGCAGCAGAGAGAAGTGGTGGGGAGACCGAGACAGGGAGAACACGCGGGAGGACAGGAGTGTTTATTTGCAGGGCTGGAAGAGAGCTGTGACCCATAGTTTGGGGCAGGAAATCTCCCAGACAGGAGGGAGCTGGGCTGGGGGATGGGCAGGCCGCTCAGAATGGCAGCCCCCGGGGCTGGAAAAACAGCCATTTTCTTTACACTAGGTCACCTCAGGCTGAGCTGGCTCTGGCCTCAGTTTCCCCAAGGTGCTCAAGAAGCAAAAAACAAAACAAAAAAAGAAAGACTTTGAGCTCCAGGGATGAAAGGCTCAGCCCCAGCCAGACCACCGCTCCCTATAAAACAGGCCAGTGACGCCACGGCTCCTTTGGCTGCTGAGTCGCCCGGCATCTTTGAAGATGAAACGTGCTCAGGCCTAACGAGGAGTCAGCTGGCCAAGGCAGAAGCGGGGGCCCCCTCACCTGCTCCCCAGCCCCGCCCAGCCCCACTGCCGCAGCCCTGCATGTGCCTCTGCTCCACCTCCCTGACGGCGAGCCCAGGTCTCGGGCCGCCTCGGCTTCTCCTGACCCCCAGGAAGCGTGTGCTTTGGATTTCAGCTGCTCTGCAAAGACACGCTCGCCCCTTGGAGCTTCTAGGCCCGATGGGTCATTTCCCACATGGCAGCTGACCGGAGAGGGAATCTCACAGCTTCCCCGGCCGACTCTGCCCCCAGCCCCCGCCCGCCACTGAGGCTGCAGCTGCCTCCTCCGAGCCTCCCGTCAGCAGCCTCCACAGTCTCCTGCTTCCCAGGGAAAACCACCTGGCACAGGTGAAGGGGCACGGAGCCGGCTCGCACTCTCCCCGGAGGCCGGGCCTCGTAAACGCGGTAATATTAGCCCGGCGGAAAGATAGCCGGCCTGGTGCTCCGCAAGGGGCACGTGCACCTGGGGGCGATGGCAGCGTCTTAATGGCTCCTTTGTGTTCATTAAGTAATTAGTTCCTTTATCTGATTTGCGGAGCAGTGCCCAAAGGCTGGACTTCTACATCACCAAGTCCAACCTGCGAGCTGGCTTTTGGAATTTAGGAAGATGTCTATCTTCCCCCATTCACGTCTCCTGGCACAGGGGAGCCCCTGAAGACCTGTCCCCTACGGCCCACGGAGCTGGGCCCTCAGTGCCCTCGGGTGAAGCCCCTGTACCTGCCATTCATCCCGGAGACCTCCCTGTTCCGGCCCTGGGCTGCCTCACTGCCCTGACTTCTGCTAGAGCTTGGCTTGCAGAAAAGCTGGGCAAGGTCTAGAAAGTCAATTAGGAAGGGGAGGGCAAGAACTGAGCCTTGTAGCAGTCACCGGACGCGAACAGGGAGGTCAGTCCCAGATGTGCCCCTCAAAAAGGAAAACAAGGACACCTGTCACAACTAGACAGTCCCTGTATTCGTTCATTCTTTCTTTTCAGTTTTTTGAGGCTTGCTGTGTAGTTCACGCTGCCCTTGAACTCACTATGTAGTCCAGGCTGGCCTTGAATGCACAGCAATCCTCCTGCCTCAGCCTCCTGAGGGCAGGATAACAGGCGTGCGCCACCCCACCTGGCCCCTGCACCTCTCTTAAACATGCTTCCACCCTCCCCAAGCCCAGCACTTCAGCCCACCCCCAAACTGTGCTGTAAGGCCAGCTGGGTGCCTCTCCGCTAGCCAAGGGTGCCGAGGACACGGGCGTGAGCCTTGCGGCCCCTCCGCCTGACACCTGTGCGCACGGCCTCACCTGCGGCTGTGTGCTCTGAGGGCCAGGCACTAATTGTGGGCTTTGGGGAGATGATGAGCACCTCCTCCCAGCACAGCCGCCTGCTGGGCTCTGTCCCAGCGCAGCCGGTTCTGACGGTTCTGACGACCGGCAGCTACAGGCCCAGGGCCGCGCGCTGCACACTGCCCTGCCCTCCCCCCGCCACGAGCTTGGCGGTGGCACGGCTGGCAGGGCCCGCTGGCGCGGGTGCTCACCTTGTGGTCCAGCTCGGCGCTGGCCTTGGGCCACTGCTCCTGGCAGGGTGTGGAGGGCTGGAAGCCCAGGTGCTGCCTGAGGGCTGATGGTTTCATGAGACCCAGGAGCCGGCTGAGCAAGGACAGCTGGGGAGAGAAGAGAGGCTGTCACTCACGCGGCGGCAGCTGCACAAGGGTGCAGGTGTCTAAGGACACCAGAGCGCCAGCTTCCAGGGCGCGAGTCCACCTGCTGCATGGTTGCTGCGTGTCCTCCGACCCTGAGTATTTGACGGTATAGGACAGGCCACACATTCTCCCCAGAGAGCAGGGTCTCCCAGGGTCTCTGTCTGTCTGTCTGTCTGTCTCCCTCTCAGACGTACACACACACACACACACACACACACACACACACACACACACACACAACACAGGGCCTGGCAGCACTAAGTCCCCCTGAACAAGGTGAACTAAAAAGACCTAAAGCTGGTCATGGTGAGCACACCTGTAATATCAGCACTTGGGAGGCTGAGGCGGGAGGACTTCTGTGAATTCCAGGAACCTGAACTACATAGCGAGACCCTATCTCAAAAACCATAAAAAAAGAAAAAGAAAAAGCTTCTAAGGCCTAAGTGTTAACCCACTTTTTGGAGAACGAGAGGCAGAGGAAGGCCCCCCGCCACTGATCAGATCCTGCCTACCACAGCCGCTCCTCCTCTGAGACCCGCACTTGCTGTGTCCCTCTCTGTTCACTGAACTTGTCACCGTGGCATGCAAAACACGCAGGATGAGGAAAGACTGTATCCCAGGCCCCAGCGGTCCATCACCAGGGCAACCGTCACGGTCAGCACTGTTCTGCCTGCTCATCTGCCCTTCCCTCTATCCTCGACACACCCTTCCCTACCTCAGACTGGGTTGTTGTTTGTTTTTAAGTAGGGTCCTTGCTAGGCAGCCCAGGCTGGCCTAGAAGTCACATCGATCCTCCTGCCCCAGCCTCCCACGTGCTGGATGACAGGTGTGTGCCACCACTCCCGGCTCCAGCAAATTCAAACATTGGTTCATTTTGCCTGTTGACTGCATAATAGAAAACGAGGGGTTTGTACCCCTCAAATCACAGTGCCAGTTCTTCCCCAGAATTCATTACTCTTCCACAGGTGGGGTTGGTTTGCTCTGACCACCTCAAATACGTCCTCACCCAGCCCCTCTGTTCAGACGGGAGTCCCCACGAGGCTCCCACGCACACTGGGACGATGTGACACTTAACCCACTCAGCGCTCTGTCTCCCGTGTAGGTGAGGCTTTTTGTGGTGCTGGGGATTGAACCGAAGGCTTTTCAAATGCTAAGCTCTCGTCTTTGAGCTATATCCCAAGCCCTTGAATTTTAATTATTTTATGCACGTATTTATGTATATAGATGTCTGTCTGTCTGTATTTATTTATTGAGATGGGGTCTTGCTAAATCACAAAGTTGCCTAGGTTGGGTTCAAACTTGCAATCTTCCTGCCTCAGCCTTCCAGACTGCTGGCACGACAGGCATGCACCACCACACCCAGCCCCATTTAGTGTCTGAAGAAAGGGCTCACCCTTTCAACCGGCTTGCATGTCTCCAGGGGGGAATGTGTGCTCCATTTACACGTGCCTGCAGCAGACCCTCTTCGCGGCCACAGCTGTGCAGCAGGCATGCGCAGCCTGGCAGAGCCGCTGTGCTGCTGAGGTGTGGCTGGGCAGAAGCAGGCAGGCTCCAGGTCCCCCCACCCACTCCGAGCTCCATGTAGCCCTGGGGCAAGGAGGTGCAGGTCAAAGGGCCAGAGCCAGGGTGGCTCCCAGGGCACCGGCTGCTTAGATCTGGCAGGTGCGGTGTGGCCACGGGTGAGGGGCCAGAACCCCCAGCCCCTCTCCGCTTGGGCCCGGCCCTGCCGCACACCTGGCTTCCTGGGGTGACTCACCCATGCCACCTGCTTGCCACCTCGGCCTGTCGTGGCTTCGGCAGCCCACAGGAGCAGCTGGGCTGGGGGCTGTGAGTCAGGCTGGCCTCAGCTCCTGAGGGAGAGGGCCAAGGCTCCCCTGCCTGGTGCGTGACCGCTTTGGAAGGGGAGAGGGGGTCACAGGCAGGAGGAGTGCTGCTCTGGGCCAGGAGCCGCTGCCTTGGGGCTGCAGGCCTTGCGCAGGCGGGCAGGGTTTCCAAAACGGCGCGGCCTGCTCCGCGCACAGCTGTGCAAGCACTGGCGGCCCGGCCCACACCCTGCCGCGCCTCACCCTCCCTGCTTTGGAGCTCGGGGCGGGGAGAGCACAGGACAGCGGCCTGCTTGCTCACGTCTGTGTTTCCCTCGGTCTGTGAAAACAGCTCAGCAAGTTGCCTGCCTGAGACCTGATTGCTAATTTCCTTTCGGAATTTCTGGTCAGACCCCGGGGCTCTCCAGAAAAAGGGGTGCACTCGGGGTGCTGCATGGACCCCTGCAGGGGGCCCCAGCCCCTCAGGTTCCAGCCCTTCCCTCCCCAGCCCGGGGGGCCGCTTCTGCAGATCCTCCTCCACCCTGCAGCCCCTGCCCAGAGCCAGCGGACTGTGGCCTACGGAGGGGCCTAGAGGCGGAAGGTGGGACCCGGCAGAAAGCGCTGCGCAGGAGGCCGTGGAGGCCAGCGCAGAGCGAGGCTGCAGGTGTGCAGCGGGAGGCAGCTCCCTGCTGTGGTCCAGGGCCGGACTCTAAACTCAGCTCTGCTGCTTCCCTGCTGTGTGGCCCTGGGAGATTGCGTTTACTTTCCCCATCTACAAAACATGAATGAGAGCTGGGTGTGGTGGCGCACGTGTCATCTCAGCACTCAGGAGGCTGAGGCAGAAGAAGCCCTGTGACTTCTAAGCCAGCTTGAGCTACACAGTGAGTTGTTTTTTTTTTTTTTTTTTTACACAGCGAGTTTTAAGGCCAGCCTGGACTACACAGCAATATCTTGTCTAAAACAAACAAAAAGAATAAATAAGCCATCGATGAGAAGGACAGTCCCCATCACCTCCGGGGGCTGCAAGGGACTGCACGGAGTCCATGCTGGGTTGAGGGGACAGGTGGCCCCAAGAGGCTGTGTGCGGGGTGGGAGGCATGCCGGGGAGCTGGAGATGGGGTGCTGGCTGGCGTGGGCAGCTGCGGGGCCTTTGAAGCCCACGTGTGGGGAGACCGCCCGACAGGCCAGACTGGAAAGGGCAGTGCCGGGCAGCCGGAGACGGGCACCCGAGTGGGCAGGCGTGGCAGAGTGGCCGGGCTTGCAGCAGAGAATGGAGCAGGGCCAGGACAGGTCCCTGCCGGCCCTGCCTACCCTGCAGCTGCAGGGCACGACGCACCCTCCAGACCTGGCCCTGGCACCTCTGCAAGCTGCCCGCTGTGCTCGGGAGGGTGAGTCACCGAGGCCACAGCCGCTTGCTCACCTCCCGCCGAGGTCGTCTGGTGCCATCTCCCAGGAGTCTGGCGGCGCCCGGGCCCGAGACAGAGCCTGGCACATGCAGCTCAGCCAGGGCCCAAGGGGCAGATGGCGCTGTGGGCGCAGGCAGGTGGGCGGGTGGGCACGGCCCCGCCCCCGTGCCGCCTGGGGCGCCCTCTCTGTGTGCGCAGGCTCCTCCCCCACAAGGCAGTGAAGCAAAGCCCAGGCCTTGAGGTGGCCCTGGCTTCCCGGCCACTCCGCCCTGGCCCTGCCCACTTCTGCTTCCACCGTGCTTTCTGCGGGGCCCAGGACCCCTCTAGCCAAGCTTCTCCCTTCCCACCAGGGTGCACCCCAGGCCTGGGACCCACGTGATGGGCACCCGCTGTACCCTGGCTGCTCCTGCCCTGCCACATGGCACCCTCAGCCCCCCAACCCTTCTGGGCGGTGACCGTAGCCCGGCCACTCTGCCCCGCCCTCTCCCTGCACCCCAAGCCCCCACCTCATGTTTCTTAACCCCCCGAGGCCCTGGCCTTTCTGGTGGGTGCCAGGCTCTGTGCTGGGCACCACGGGGCAGTGGTGGCAGAGCCTGGGACCCTCTGTCTTCAGGCTGCCTCTGCTCAGGGGCGCAAATGGGCAGGAGACACTGAGAAGAGGTCGGGAGTCCCACAGCACGGACAGGCAGACGGCGCGGGGCACTTTGGTGGCCAGGCCAGGTGGCCTCTTGGAGGAGGCAGGAACGCCCTCCTTGCCATCTGCTCCAGGGCTCTCAGGCAGTGGCCTGGGACCCACATCAGAGCTCCTGAGCAGGCAGAGGAATGGGGGAGACAAGTGACCCCTGCTGTCCCCGGGGGACACCAGCATGGAGGTGCTGTCATTTAGTAATATTTATTTCAAACCCAGGTATGGTGGTGCACACCTATGATCCCCACTGGGGAGGCTGAGGCAGGAGGACTGGTGAGAGTTCCAGGCCAGCTGGGGCTACACAGCAAGGCCCTGTCTTAACCACCCTGCCCCAAATAGTATTTGTTCCCCTCTATTGTTCTTTCACCTATACAAATGTCCTAGCCAGAGGCTGGGAGTGCGCAGGGATGGAAGTTAGTGTTTAACGGGGACAGGGAAGATGGAAAGGCCCTGCCAATGGACGGTGCTGACAGCTGCATGGTCAACACAGGAAATACAACTGAAGCATGGATGCTTCCACTGGATAAAGCAGTAAGGAAGTTGAAATGGTAAAAGTTACGTACATTTTACCTTAATTTACTGCTTTGGGTTTTGAGGCAGGATCTCACTATGTAGTTCAGGCCAGCCTTGAACTTGCTCTGCAGTGCAGACTGGCCACCCTCCTGCCTCAGCCTCCTGAGTGCTGGGATTACAGGTGCGGGTCACATGCCCAGCTTGTTTTACCATAATTTATAAGCAAGTGAGCTAGGTTCCCAGCTCCGTGCTTGATCCCAAGCACACAGCAGACAGGCAAAGAGGAATTTTTACTTTTTAAGAGACAGCTCTTCCTATATTGCCCAGGTGGGCCTTAAACTCCTGGGCTTAAGCAGTTCTCCTGCCTCAGCTTCCCAAGAAGCCAGGCCTTTTGGTGCAAGCCACTACTTCCTGAAGGTGGTGAAGGTGGAACTCGTACACACTAGGCAGGCACTGGACCCCCTACACGGTATCCCAGCCCCAGGACTTGAGAGATGACAGAACTGGAGGAAACAACTCAAACCCAGCGTAGCACTCTGGGCTGAGGCACCCAAGCTCTGGCCAACCCTGGGGCTGGCAGGTCTGGCAGACAGGGGCAGCCACCCATGGGCCTCCTGCCCGGCTGAGGCCGACTCACCTGGCTCTTCTCTTTCCAGAGAGGGAGTGCCTCTTCCTGGCCCAACATCCGGGCAATGACTGAGAGGCTGAGCTGGCTTCGAAGCTGCCTGGGAGAGAAGGAGCAGAAGGATCTGAAGGGGTGGCAATTTGGGGGCTGAGTGTGACCTAGGGTGGGCATGGGGCCCCACAGAGGGAGGAGTCCCCCTCTCCACATCCCTGTGGGTCTGTGGGATGAACAGGCAAAGGATTACTCAAAAGTGGTTCAAAGCCAGCCTGGCAGGGATGCGTGGCTGCAGTCCCCACACTCTGGGAGGCTGAGGCAGGAGGACTGCAAATTTGCTTCCAACCTGGGCAACTTTGCAAGACCCTATCTGAAATTTAAAATGTAAAATTTATTAAAAAAAAAAAAAACTGAAAAAGGGTTGAGGATGTATCTCAGTGTAAAGGGCCGGGTGTGGTGGCACACACCTGTAATCCCAGCATTTGGGAGGCTGAGGCGGGAGGATTGCCACGTTTGAGGCCAGCCTGGATTACACAGTGAGTTCAAATCCAGCCTGAACTGCATAGTGAGGCCCTGTCTCAAAAAAAATAGAACCAACGCACCCAACAACCAACCAATGGTTCATAATATTCCTACTTCTCTGTGTCCGGATCTGGGTGCAGATCCAGGACAAACAGGCTGGGGGTGTGGCTCAGTGGTGGAACCCTTGTGTAGCATGTGCGTAAGGCTCTGGGTTCCATCCCCGGCACCGCAGAAAAGACAGCGACTCAGAAGAGTAGCACATTTCCTTCTCGGTGGCGTCCTGCCCCCAGCTTCGCAGGGCCGACGACCTCCCGCACCTCCCAGGCCAGACTTCGCTGTTTCTTCACCCAAGGTCTGGGGAACTTTCCTCTGGGAGGCCTGATGCTGGGTTCCCCTGAGAGGCGGCCTTAGGGCCAGGCCGGACTTTCGGCCCAGCTGTGCTGCTCCCAAGGCAGGAGGCAACTCTGGGCTGCTGGTGGCCGTCCTGCCTCCCAGGGCACAGCCTGGGAGAAGCAAGTGGGAGGCCCGGCAGAGAGAGGACAAGTGAGTCAGACCCCTCCCCAGACAGTCCCTCCTGCTCTGGCAGGCAGAGATGGACTCTGGCCAATGTCTCTGCAGGAGCGAAGCCCAGGCTTCCTGTTTTTTTTTTTGGTTTTTGTTGAGACAGGGTTCTAATATGTAGTTCAGGCTCGTCTCGAACTCAGTGATTGTCCTGCCTCAGCCTCCCGAGTGATGGGATTACAGATGGCCACAGTATGCCTGGCTCCTGGCCAGGTTTACAACACTAATGTTTGTGATTCTGGTTTTTAGGACTCCTTAAGCACAAGAGGGGAGTGGAGATAGGACCTGAGGGTCCACTGGAACGCCCAAGGCCACATTACCTTGTGTCCCCTGCTGCCACCCCCCATGACAACCTTCCATGCCCTCGAATGCTCCTCAACCCCCGTTGGCAGAAGCTGTCAGTGTGAGGATGGAACCCAGGGCTCCCTTCATGTTGGGCCCCTCCTGTCCCTCACGCCGGGACACTGAAGTGGCCACCAGCTCTGGCTCCAGGAAGCCACCACCAGGACAGCCCGCAGTGGGAACTCCATGGGAATCTGCATGATCCGGGACCAGGTTCTTTGACAGGAAGTGCCCTGGGTCACAGGATGGCTGGAGAAGCCCACAGCGCTCACCGGACAAGACCCACACCGCAAGGGATGGAAGAGCCAGATGGGGCAGTCACCTGCGGGGTGCGGGACGTTTCCCTGGGGAAAGATCAGGAAGCAGGACCACGCTGAAGGCTGCCTGGCAACTTCCCTGGGCCACTGCCACCCCAGGCGAGGGTACCTGCGATGGGGGCCCCCTCTAAGCTCCCAGAGGCTGGGCACCTGGGATCAGAGGCCCTAATACTGGGTCTGCACCTTGGGGGTTGTGCTGATTTCCGTAGGCCACAGTGAAGTGGCAACCATCCACACGCACGAGGCTGCTGTTGGAAGCAGACACAGCAGCAGGCAGTACCTGGAAGAGCTCCCGGGAAAGGAGGGGCTGCCCGTGGCAGGGAGGGTGTGGGGCCCCGGTGCGCATGTGCAGCTGGGCACATCCACTTGGGAAAGCACTGGACAGAATCTACTGAAGATGTACACCTTCCTACCCAGAACCACTGGTTCTACTCCTAGGCACACAGGTACAAAAACAAGAGAGGTGCTGAGCGTAGTAGCGCATGCCTGTATCCTAGCACTTGGGAGGCTGAGGCAGGACAACTGCAGTGAGTTTGAGGCCAGCCTAAGGTATAAAGAAAGACCCTGTCTTGATAAACAAAAAAACAAAACAAAACAAAACAGAAAAGAGCTGTTGGACGGCGGGACCCTGGGGAACAACCCTGGGGCCGGCTCCGGTTGTGCCTCGTTTCTTGATCTGGGTGCTGGCTTCGTGTGCGCCTGACCTGTGAAAACCTACTGAGTCATACACGTCAAACGGCCTGCGCTTTGTTCTGTCTGTACACTGGAGTGCAATAAAACCATCACATAAAAAAGAAACTGGGCTGGAAGGGAAGACAGGCCTGCCAGGCTTAGCAAACCAAAACAGAGGATGCATCGCTACATCTGAATTTCAGATACACAAAGGATAATTTTTTTAGCATGTTTGCCCCATGTGGTATTTGCACTGCATCTGGCAACTGTGGGAGGACCAACTATTCCCTCCCTCCTTTGTTTTTGGTGCTGTGTTTTTGAGACAGGGTCTCACTATGTAGCCCAGGCTGGCCTTGAACTCACAGTGATCGTCCTGCTTCAGCTTCTCCAGCGCTGGGATGACTGCAGTGCACCACCACACCTGGCTTCCTTCCTTTCCTTTTTTTTTTTGATTTGTTTTTTGAGACAGGGTCTCAACATATAGCCCAGGCTGGCCTTGAACTCGTGGTGATCCTCCTGCCTCAGCCTCCCCAGTGCTGGGACTACAAGCGTGCACCACCACGCCTGGCTTCCCTCCCTTTCTGACCAGGAAGACCCACAGTAAAGCAGAGTGGGCTCTGATTCTGCCTCCTTCAGCCTGGGTCCCTTTCTGTGCCCAGTGGGCTCCGCCCTGCGCAGAACACGGGGTGGGAAATAGAAGCCCTTCACCCTGCTCCTCCCCACCGTGCCCCAACCTCACGGCCTCCGGGGGTGCAGCGCTTGCTGTTCCCCAAATCATACACCAGCCCAGCCCGCTCTGCTTGCTGTCAGCCAGGACCTGCTTTCCAGCTGTTCCCGGGAGCCCACAGCAGCTGGACCAGGAACACAGTGGGAGGTAAACGGCCCTGGATGCTGCTGCCGCCGCTGCCACCGCGGCGCAGAGGAGCCGCATCTGGCCTTCATTAATTCCCCGCCCAGCCGGGAGGCCAGGGGAGGCGAGGGAGGGGGTGCAGAGCCGAGCAGCCGGCCCAGCGCTGGATCCAGAAGGGAAGAGGCGGGCCGGGTGGGTCAGGCTGGGCTGCAGTCCAGAAAGGAAGAAAAGCACCAAAACAGCAGCGGGGGCGTGAGTGGACGCAGGGAGCCCACATCTGAGAGGGCGGCCCCCTCGCCAAGCCTGCCCAGCGCCTCTGGCCCCGGCCTGCCCTTCCCTGCACGTTCGGTTCCCGCCCGCACGCTGGGATGCCGGGATGCAGGGCCAGGGCAGGGCCCACGGCTCTTCATTTCCGGGACAGAGCACGCACTCTTCTGGGAGAAAAGCAGGGAGCCCCCCAGCTGCCACCCCGTGCACAGGGCAAGTGCCAGGCCGGCCACAGCTGGCTGTGGCTCTTCTTCCCTGAGAAACAGCCCGGCCCCACCTGGCAAGGCCTGCCCGAACTCAAGAGCTCAAGGCGGGCGGGCGGGCGGGCAAGGCAGGAGCAGAGCCCGAGGCAGGCCGTCCTGGCCGCTGTCATATAAGGCAAAGGCTCCAGCCCGCAGCACCGGGCCAGCCTGGCCGCACTCCGCGCTTCGAGGGCCTCTGCAAGACCAGGACGCCAGATCAGCGCGGAGGAGCCGCAGGCCCTGGGGAGGCTGGAAGCTGCCTTCCTGCACCCCCGGGGCAGAGGATGTGCTGTTTCCAGCCTGTGGCCGTCCCTGTGGTCCCCGCAAGGGACACTGGGCCAGTACCCTGCAGGGAGACCCAGGAAGGCAAAGCCACTAGCCAGTGGGAGCCCCTGGGACTTGGGGAGGAAATCGCTGGCCAGGGCAGCGCCACTCCTCATTCCTTCCACGGAGAGCCGGGCCCTGCCAAGGCTGCACTGCCCTAGAAGGCCACTGGGCACCAGGCCAAAGCAGCGCGCTGCCTTTTCCGCGTTTCTAGGGCAGCTCAGGAAGCTGCAGCTGCGGCCGTTTCCGCTGTGGAGGGGCTGGTGACACCTGCCCCGGCCGGAGGCCCGGCTTGCGTCTTGGGCTGTCCACCTTGCCTCCTGATGGACACCTGTCTCGGGCCCTGCTCCGTGGTCCCTCGCTTGGCATCTTTCATCTTGCACGTGAGCATGTGCTACGCAGGCCGAAAGAGCTAGGGTGTGGGGGCTGGATAACCCTTCAGTGCCCTGCACCCCACCGCCCCCGAGTCTGCAAGCCCAAGGTCACCACACTGCAGTGCGAGGGGTCCACCTGCAACAACTCACATCTGCACAGACCCGTTCCCCCGCCGAGACGCGAGCTGAGGACACAGACACAGGAGGACACTCGGCGCCCATTCTGTTTAGAGAAATGTCCCAGGCCAGGCAACACGGATCTGTGCGATGCAAGGTCAAGGGCACGTGGCTTGCTTGGCTCCTGGGGAGCGGGGGACATTGTGTGCATGGCCGCGTGGCAGCGCGTACGCAGATGGTCACTTAGCAAGTGCCCGAGCGCCTGCCTGTGCTGTTACAACGTCCTCCGCGCATATCATCAGCCGACAGCGCAGTGTACGCGGACGCTCGCCACCCGACCTCCATGCTCCGATAGCGTGACCAGGCCGCTGCGCCTGAAGTTAAACGCCTCGGAGTCCCCGGTTTACGGCCTGCGCTGGCGCAGCTACCCTTTAACTCCCTGTGCGGCACCCCACCAGGCACTCCCTGCAGCGGGGAGGGGTTGGGAGCCCGCCCGGTCCAGGTTACGAGCAAACACC